TCAAGATCCTTTGTGTGCACGTTGTCGTTCTTCAACTGGAAAAAGCGCTTCTTTCCTTGGTCGTTGATAATCTTAAACTCGTGGAAGATGGCGTCCTTGACCTGTTTGAAATTCAAGTCGCTCTTGATCGTCAATTCCTTCACCTCGCCTTTGTAGTGGGCGCTGATGTTGATGCTTGTGGCTGGAGGCTTGGATTTTGACTTCTTGTAATTCTCACGGTTTGTTGTGATGAACAACTCCTCCGCCATCAGCTTCATGATGTTATCCTTGATGCTCTGGAGTTTCTTCGGAATGTCAGCATCTGCCATGTTCGCCAAAGTAGCCTTTTCATCCTCCGTAAGCTTCGTCTTAAGGATGTCAACCTGATGCTTCGCGACAAGGAACTTTGCTTCTTTCGTTGGACGCTCTGGCAAAGCTGAAGAAGATGTAGCATCGCTTGTCGTCTGATTGTAGCCATCGTTCTTCACATCGTCCTTCACATTCTCCTGATTAACCTTTGGTGCCATCGCTCACAGGTGATGTGCTACCTTCTTTTGACTTTGTGATTCTTGAATCCGAATTGCTGAAGATATGAATACAGGTCGCTCAATGCTTTCCGCAGAAACAACATCACTGTTTGTAAAAGTCTCTTGCAGTTAAACTTGCCAGTGTCGCCTTCTTGAAGACGATGAAGAAGCCAAGGCACAAATATAAAACCTAACATATAAACTTCAAGACCAAAAACCCTAACAAAGCTTCATAATAAAATTTATTATGAATATTTGATAAAACGCTAGAGGGTAAAACACCCTAGAAACCTAGGCATTATGATAATCCCTGAAATATGATGATGAAAAATGAACGAGAGGGCGAGATGTGATGAAAGAGGATGATAAAAGGACTTAAATTTAGGAAATTTATGATAAAACCCCAGAAACCCCTAGCATAAAACGAATGAGGAGAAGATAATGATGAAGAACGAAGAAGATGATGATGATGAAAATGATGTATGAAAATGTGTGATGAAAAACGAGTAAGGATGTAAGTTGACCCTAGAGGCCGGAGGCCTTAACCCCTGAATCCCCCTATTTACAATTTTTCCCCGGACCCCCCCCAGGATTTAAATTAGTTAATTCCCGGCTCGAACTAAATAATGTAAATAGTTTAAATAATTTGAGTCCTGAGGGGGGCCCGGAGGGGGCCGGGCCGGGGAATTAAAGATTGGGAGAGGGCACCGGAGTTAAGCTACTTAATTTATCCGGACCCTCCCTGGACCCCCTCCCCAGGATTGTTTATTTAAATTATCTAATTCGGGCCGGGAATTGCATAATTTAAATAATTTAGAAAATGTAAATCCTGGGGAGGGCGTCTGGGGGGGTCCGGGAGCCCGGGAATTACATAAGAAAATATTTAAATCCGGAGGCCTCCCCCAAGATTTAAATAATTGAAATATTTAATTCCCGGGCTCCTGGACCCCCCCCGAAACCCTCCCCCAGGATTTTCATCCTTTAAATTATTTGAATTCTTTAATTCCCGGCCCGAAATACATATTTTTAATCCGGAACCCAGCCCAATATTTACATTGTTTAAATTATTCAATTCCGGCCGTGCACACATAGCAAAACCAGAACTGGGTCTATTTAGCAGCTGGTTGTGTGGTTCCTTTCAAAACAGACGATTCCAGCTGCTAAATAGACCCGGTTTAAGCTGCACAGGGGGGGGTGATGACGTCCATGCGAATGCCGCTTGTGTCTTCTGTTTCTTTTGTTGCGTTACTTCTCAAACGCTGCCGGGTGCTCTGTGAAGCCCTTGTTGCCGCTTGTTGTTGAAGCTTCACCTTTGAAACGTAACAAACGTTTCATTTGAGCGCTTATGCCCATGTAAAGCGTTTCACTGCGTATTCTCCGTAGGCCGTACCACGGCTCAAGACAGAAGTGCCTGCGGGAGAAACGTAGACCGCGTGTGCTGTGCCTTAAGTTGTGACGTTGGTAAAAGGCTTTAAACATTCAAGACGTCAACCATGCAAAAACCTCGAATCTTTGAGGCTTTCCAGACAAAAACGTCGCAACAAACTTCAAAAATCATCAAACGTAAACGGCGAAAAGCATGCTACTTGCGACAATTTCGAAACAAACGTAACCAAAAAACAAGACAAATAATTATGGAAACAAAGAATCCGAAGCATCGTCTTGTTGGATTTTCAGTGGGTTTTCAAGCTTTTGATCCAATATTCTCCCCAGAATAAACGACACACCCCGCGCGGCGGCAGACGCACGCAGCAAGCAGAAGGAACAAGCAAGGAAAGAAGACAAGAGGAGAAAGGAGAGCACAAACAGTGAACAGGAAGCAATACAAGTCTTTACTTTTAGCAGCACTTGTCTACAGTAACATGGAGACAGCAAAAGGCATGGTGGCATTGAAAGCACTTGCAGACATCAATGCGCAAACGCTTCAAGGAATACCGACACTAGCAGAAGAGATCAGGAACTCAGCAGCGTCAGGCAGCCAAAAAGAAGCAGGATTGACACAAGCATTCCAAGAGACAATAGCAGCAGTTCCGACACAGCAGGCAGCAGCACAAGATGCACTCACCACAAGCAAATGCAGTTACAACCTTTGAGGAGATTGGAGCTGGAACATGGCAAGAAGAGAAAAGCGGCTGGACAGAGTTTCAAGCCCGGATCAGGATTCGGCTTGGAGCAGTCGACGAAAAGATGGTCGAGATCATGGACTTGGAGACATGACGGATGACAAAATGGTCAAGATGTGTGACATGTCGTTTGATGCCAAAGATGCCAGTAAAAGACTGTACAGTGTTCCTTGTTCGTACACGAAGGGTCGTCCCTACCGTGTTGTAAAGCATGTAGCAGCGGAAAACGGTATGAGAGCATGTCGTATGCTGATGAGGGAATATCAGCCTCCAAATTGTGCAAGATCTTTGGAGCTGTGTCACAACATCCTCAACTCCAGGTTTGCACAGAACAAAGCAATAGCTAAGAACATCCTCCAATATGAGGAACGCATCGAACAGTAAGAGAAGGCAGCAGGAGAAAAAGTGCAAGATAGCCTGATCTACCCTTATTCAAGGGATGAAGCCTGGTGTGAAAGGGCACGTGTTGCGCAACTTGGACGGGTACACGAGCCTTCCCGACTATCTAGTGAACTATGAGTCAACTGAGAGATGGACCAGCTCATTGTCCCAACAACAAGGAACACCATACAGAAATTTTGCCCCGAGTCGTTGATGCTGCGTTGTACATCACCGATGGGATGGTCCTGTGGGTGTCGGCCTCCGTTGCTCTAAGATGCGCGGGGGCTGTCGTTTGTAGAAGATGTCAATAGTTCATACCCATACTGGCATGTTCGGCTCAAATTCACTGGCCATCACTCGTGTTCTTGTCCTTGGCGTCGTGCCCCCGAAGTCCCGACTTCGCGACGCTACAGCAACACAGGCAGCAGCAGAAAGGCAGAGGAAGAGGAGGAGTAGGACTTGAGTTTTTTGTTTCCAAGGCTGTCAGTGGGGCTGTCGTTTGTTTGCTGAATCGCTCCTGGGTTCTTGTATTTGCCGAAATTCTTGTGCTCAGTTCTTGTTGTTTTCCGACATAAGCCTCCTTGTCTCGGGGTTGTTTTTCGATTTCGCCCGCATCCATCCGTGAAGACTGCCTGGATTGATGTGGTGGACTGCACTTTCTCAAATTTCGCATCTTGGCTGTTGCTGGACTCCTTACCATAACTTGAGGCACCCAAAGCCGTGCTGTCGTTGGTTCCGCTCACGGGCGACGGAGCCTCGCGCAAAAACGGGAGGGAGCAACAGCAGCGCACCCTGCCTCCCTTAAGGACCAGACCTTGCGAGACGAGTACGACGACTATTTCACAAAGAAGGACTCTCTTCTCTTTGGTGCCGATTCGCAGTGTGGGACCTGGCCAACAGGAACGCATGGGTGTGGCCGCGTGCCTTGGTCATGCCCTCTACGTGGTCCCGCCCGTACGGGCCCAGGCGCATTCGTGCCGGGTGACAGCAACAGAGCGACTCGTTTGGCTGCTTGGTTGCCTTCACCAGGAATGCGGCATCGGAAACGTCATGGTGCCTACGAAGAGCTGCTGGCTCAGCTTTTCTCATATAGCCCTGCCCCATATCATCCGTGTTTATACAAGCTAGGTAGCAGGTAGCCGTCTCCCGAAAGAAGGCATTGCAGCATCGCCTGCTTCGTTGAGCCAGTTAACCCCAATTCATATTCTGTTGTACCGGTCTGGTGCTAGAGTGCCAGTCATGGTGAACGCAGGCATTGCATGTAATGTTCCACTGGCATCGGGCCTTCCCTTCACACGTCCGGCAGCGAATCTGAGCGATGCATTCTCAGCATCGGGACGTGTTTTTGGGTTGCTGGTGGGGCTTCTAGGTTGATTTGCTAAACCAGCTCAGTGTCGCGTGACAAAATTGTTTTTAGTGCCTGTACGAGTGTGTTAAATTCTGCTAGGAGAGGAACTGGGCTGGGCCTTGAGGGCCCAGGCTTGGCAGCATGGCAGGGCCAAGTGCAAGGCAGCACGTACAGGAGGAGGGCTGTGAAATGTTCTCCGAGGCTTGGTGGGTGCCATCGCCACAGCTCCACATCACACGAAGTCTCTCGGACAGTGCAATTTGAACAACGGATGTCCGCATTGCGGAGTCTTTTGGTTCTGTTCGCATTTATGGTGTCATGCCCAAGTTACCTTTATGCTGCCCCACTGTGCTTCCTTCTGCTCCCGGGAAGCAGGTTTGTTCCAGTTTGCAGCACGGCAGACAAGGTCGGACGGTTCCCGACAAGCCCCATGTGGCATGGATGAGGCATGAGCTGGCGGCTGCGACAATTCCTGGCGCTCTGCAATTCGCTCGCAGCTGTCTGCTGTGGCTCGGAGCTGTGTGGGTAGAAAGATGAGCCGGTAGCATGCAACAGAGAATGCGGCATGCCTTTGGCAGGTTCGGCGCAGGTGTAGATACTTGTGACGTCACGATTTCATAATAGTATCGTCCTGTTGTTGTTATGAGCGGGGTCGATGTGCGTGTGCATGTCGCGTCGCACCAGGCTCGGGGCACAGGGTGCATCAGGGTGTGTCGGCGCAGTGCGAGTCGTCGAAGGGCATCCATGCCTGTTCTTTTCTGCGATTGCGACTGAGGTTTGCCAAGAATCTGACTTGGACAAGGCCCAGCGACTACGAGGGTCACTTTAAGGACACAAGAGTGAGGCCGGTGCAGGTCGCTTCAAAGGCTCCTCGAGCCGTGGTGGTGATTCCGCAGCTGGCCGACGAGGCGCCAGAAGGCTAGCGGCGAGCGTTTCAAGCACGATGAGAATCCCGCTGAGCTGCGAGGAGAGCCCGGAAGGCTGGCAAGTCCTGGGGGAGACACCGCAAAGGCGCATTCCAGTCTGCCGAGTCTCTTTCCACCTTTTTGCCGTACATCCTTCAAGCCTTCAAGGGTGGAAGCTTCCGTGCGCGATATGCTGGGAAAGGCGGGGCTGGCTCTTCGAAGAGCCGTTGGATTCCGAAGAACTGCGACCTCCAGGCATTGCATGACCTGCAGCACGAGATTCCAGAGCACCTGCAGGACTTGACACCTAAGTTTGACATGTGCAGCACCAGCAACTTCAAGTCGCTTCCTCGCTGCTCTGCGCGCTTACTTCCTTGTGTCTGAGTGGCGACATGGAGAAGGAGTCTCTTTTCCGGTGTTTGCACCGCGCCTTTTTCTTAGAGTCTTCGAACAAACCTTCCACGCTCAACGAATCCGTGCTGGGCATGATCACATGCAGCCGAGGTTGGTGCGTGATGATGATAGTTTGATACTCATGATTGATGATGGGCAATGATTGCGGGTGATGATGATGTTGATGATGATGATGATGATGGGAGGTGGTGGTTGCATGGGTGGTTACAGCAAGCATGACGGGGATGACCTTGGAAACTGTGAAGCCCCATGCTCGGCGTTACGAGGCTTGGAATTGCACAAGGCCTGAGAAAAATGTCTGCGTACATGCAGAGACTTGCCGAAGAAGAGGACAGGGATGGTTTTCACATGATTTCACATGCAGAGCACATCCACGTTGGTGGCGGTCAGCGCACCGTATATGTGCTGCCGGCACTTAGATGTGGTGTGAGTGATCTTGAAGCTGTCGGCTTCGTTGTGCCAAGCGTTTCTATTTTGTGGAGTCTTTCGGAGTGTTTCCGGACAGCATCTGCGCTTTGACATTGGACTCGAGAAACCCATGATTCTTCCAACGCCTCGCTTGGCATCCTGTTGCGTCTGCGAGGGCGGCTTCGTGGCAGGTTCGGGGCTGAGAAAATTGCCACGGGCCTGCATTTGGGAAGTAGGCCAAGCTTTTTGAATGCAAGGAGCTCCGTAGGATTCAGATTCGTGCTGCATGCATAGACAAGCGACCAAGTTCTGCACTGCAGAGGAGCACCCGGCAGTGAAGGCCCAGTGCTTGAAGTTGCAGGACTTGCTCAGACCCTCGGCTAGATATCTTGGTCGTGCCCGCGCTATCTGCTGGGATGCAGGTTGCAACCAAGAGTTCGGCATTGAACTGCGACACATGGACGGTGAGGCGCGGTCTTTGTGCAGCTTCACCCAAGATGCCACACAAGTGGGCAGGATGGTGCTGTCCCGGCCTGGGTAGAGACCTTCTTGGAGGCTTCTTCCAGTGTCCGAGTGTATGGTCGGCGCAAGGTTTTCCCTTTGCAAATCGAGACAAGGTACACCGGGAACGGGTAGTCAGAACGTCCGACTTCTCTCAGCCACGCTCGCCTCCGGACGTGTTGTCGTCAGTAATTGTGCTTGCCAGGTTGTTGCCTGCAAGCCCTATCCCAGCAACAGCGTCACACTGCCACTGTCCGGCCCTGTTTCTTTCAACCTTGGAATTACATCCGTGCCTGAGACAGAGAGTTCCTGGTACAACACTTCTCTCGCATGGTCTGGGCAACGCGGTTCCAAAAGCAAGAGCCAAGCGTAACAAGGGATGCCCTGCATCGAAACCGCGCCAACCATCGCGCAGCGCGCATGACATGTATATGACTTAGTCCAGCAGCATCCGTTCGATACAAGACCGTAAGGCGTCATGACGTCAACGGCTGTGTTTGAATTCTTTTCGCCGTTAACTTGGTTGGCCGTTAACATTAGTTGAGGGCATGCTTCTGGTGCAAAACCCTGGCTGTCGGAGCCTAGAATGTGAGATGAGTAAAGATTGAAACGGAGTGCGGCAGGCCATAGGGCTTTGTGCTTTTACGCGGCTTGCCGGCTCCCAAGGGAGGTGACCCGCGAGACCACGCTGCTTCGGAATGGAAAGATCCGATTGAGGTGTCGCTTGCTTCGCTTTGCACTTCACTCACTTCGTGCCATCCGCTAAGTGGAGGACACCCGGCTTGATCGTGACCGCCGTGACCGTGCTGCAGATGCAGAGCCTGCAGAGCCCACAGAACTGGGCTCGCCCGCCTCGCTGAAGCGCTGCGCACGGCCCTTACACATTCCGCGCCCCCGCGCTTTGCGCTGTGCTGCACGGACCACTTCCCGGCAGGTCATCGCACCTGGAAATGGCTGCTCGCCGATCAAGGAGGCGTGGGAGTCTCAGAGCTCAGGGTCAACGTGTTTGTGCATTGGCGGAATCAGGAAAGTCGTAAGCAAAGGAATTGGTACTTTTGGCTGGCGAAGAGCTTGAATGGCAAGAAGCTTTTTCAGGAGGAGGCCCATCGTCCATTGTTTCAGAGGATTCTCCGTTCTATCTGTGGGGCGTTGCAGTCGCAGGTTGTTCTTCGGGACTTCCCAGACCCTTGCGAGGCGAAGCGTGAGATCTGGCTGAAGTTCATGAAGGAGGTGGGGGGGGGGCTGGCGGGCTGGCCAAGGGGTGGAAAGGTCGCAGTCGAGTGCGTGGGCTTGCCGCCCAGGAGCTTTTGGTGGGACCTGACACGGTACCAGCACCCAGAAGTCTTGGACAGGGAGCTGTTACTGGCGGCATGAAGTCCTGGAAGGTGCTTGTCGGGCACTCCAGCGGTGCGCAAGCAGCCGCTCATCGCGATTTGCAGCTACTCTAGCACGACGTCTCAATGTTCTGGACACTTCCAGGCTATGCGGCTGGCGGAGGAACAGATCATTGGTGGCTTGGTCTTGGTGGCTGCTTGCCACAGCCACCAAGATGCAAAAAGCTGCGAAGGGGCACGACCGACGCTTCCGGTGTTTTGGCTCAGGTGATTTGGGAGATGCAGGAGAGCGCGCTTCTGGATACTACCCGCCAAAAGGAGGGCCGTGGAACTGGGAGCCTCGTCCGCAAGGAACATGGAACATGGAGTTGATTTTGAGGCTCCAGGTCGGGTTTTCAGCTCAGGCCAACATCCGAAGAAACACCGGGTGGATTGCAACTTGCCGGGCTTATGCCATTGCATCCTCGGATCTGAGATGGCCATGATCGCACATAGTGGACGCTTTGGCCGGTTTTGCCCCATAATGTGGTGGAGTTGACGCCTTGATCGCATTTACCTGAGAGGGGTTTGCACCAGGGGAGTCCCGCAGTCTTCGTCACAGCCCGAGATGGACAGTGGTGCCAGCACACCGATGTGCCAAACACATGTGCGTCAGTTTGCATCATCCGACATGTGACTGCCACATTACTGCCGTGCCGCGACGAGGTGCAGCTGCATTCCACAGACGACCCCCTGGTTCCTGTCTCGGAGGGGCGTGTCGTGGCTGAGGAAAGGTGGCTGTTGATGCTTTCGGGTTGTGTGACGTGGTCCCTCCGCAGGAGCTCCAAAGTTTGCACCCAAGTCGCGGACACCTGACGGCACGGCCTAACGACTGCAATGAGTTGTAGCAAGGCAAATACATCGAGTTGAGCGGCCGGTCCCATTTCTTCGAGCCCTGTAAGGAACTCTTGGAGGCTGGTTGAGAGAATGTTGAGAGAGTGAGGGAGAGCTGTGCGCTGTGTTTTTCATCCCTGCAAGAAGCACTAGTGTCACATCACTGCAAGTCAAAGGCCATTTCTGGCAAGCTGAAGCAGTGAGACGAGCGGCGCGGCGGCGGGTTGAGAGCAGATCACTCCGATTCGTCACGAGCCTTTTGCCGATGTACAGCCAAGGCAGGCTGGGGAATTTCACGCATATTTGGCGCACGATGCCATTGTAGACATGCAAGCGACGATTGTGCAGATGCAACAGATGCCAGAATTCACGGGTTGATTGTGTTGTTACATGATTACATGCTTCGTTGGTCCCAAGTCCCAATCACGGCTGCATCTGGAAATGCCTCTGGCCGAATGGTCATGCCATCCTGTGTGCTTCGTCTGCTTCCTATGTGAAAAGATCGGACTCGGAGGAGTCACGAGATTTGAGGCAAGTTGGTGACAGACGAAGCTTGTTTCATAAGCTGAGCCAGGCGAATGTCAGCTACTGAGTCGTTGCAAGAGTCCCGGGCAGCTTGGCGTGCTCTGGACAAAGGTTGGTGCCAAGACGAGGGAGGCCCAACGGGAGGCCGGAGTCCCTGCAACGCGCGTGAAGGGTGAGTGCTGCTCTGCACTCGACAGGTAAGCGAAAGGCCTGCTCGGGGAAAGCAGGCGAAGGCGAAGGATCAGAGGGTGCCGGCGGAGGTGCCAGAGGCGGAGGCGGCACAGGCAGAGGCAGAGGCAGAAGATGCGGAAGATGCGGCGACGGAGGAGGCAGACGAAGTGGAGATTGTTGACATCGAGGTGCGCAGTCAGGAGTTCTGCCGTTTTGCCGAGCCTTTGCCTCCTTTGTCAGGGAAAGGGAGACGAGATCGAGATAATCGACGTCGAGGCAGCGTGAAAATGCGTTTCCCTTTGGCGTGCTGCAGTAATAAATCCAAACTGAGGACCCGCCTCCCAAAACGCCGGAGGCAAGCGAAAGGTGAGAACGACAGAGCTACCTTCAGACTTCAGACAGAATCGTTCTTTGTCCCGGCCAGGGCGTCTTCACCGGCCATGGAAACTCGAGCGGAGGCTCCGGCCAAAATGCTTTCAATTTCTGGGGGCAGGCGGCAAGGTCTCAAGCAAAGTGCGGCCCCACGCAGCAATGATGAACCGTAGAGGAACAGTATCGGGCCTTTTTTGCCAGGCTTCTTCAAAGCAATGTGCGACGCCGGCTCATCACCTCAAAAGGGTTGTGCAGGTGGTGCTTGTCTTCGTGGCTTAGAGGCTTCGTGCTGCTTTAGCCTTGATCGGATTGGCTCCGAGGATACCAACAGCAAGCCGGCTGCGATCGAAGCCCCGCGAGTGGCGCAGTTCTCTCGTGAAGATGTGGCAAACGCTGCAGAGGCCCAGTGTGAGTCGTCCCACAGGCATTGATACATTCTGGCCATGCCTTGAGGCCGTGCGAAAGGAGCCCCAAACAAGTTCCAAGTTTATGCAGGAGCTTGGAGAGTCATAGATGATGACTGCTGGAGCAGTGTTCGGAGTGCGCAGACTATGCAGGTCTTGCTTCTATAAAGAGCCAGCATGAGTCGGCAATGTTGTCCTGATATTGGCGCTTCACCTGCTCTGAGATCAAGTGTTGCTCATCCTGGTATCTGGTCTTCTCTTCTCCGTGCTCTCTGCCAGACTACTCCGCTAGAGTAAGCCTCATAAAGTTGGAAACCGGGCTAAGGCCAAATAGTGCTGGGATTCCCTATACATTGCTCTTAAGAATTGGGGCTATTGGGTTTCCAACTTTTGGGCTTCTACTGTATGCGGATTCTTGCTGTCATCTTAGAAAGCAGGCATAACGCACGGCTTGCGTGTTTGTCGACACCATGTTTTGTCGCCATTCTTGAGTCCATGGTGCATCATTGCTTAGCATTGCATGTCGGCACTGCGTTTGGTCGTGCACATGCTTAGACCTTGCCCTTTGGGTTCGGTTATTCCTGGAGGATTCCTGCAAGTACCCTGCGCCAGCATTCTTGCCGCGAGATGTGGCCTCTGCAATGCCTCGCTCTCAGTAGTTGCTATGTTCCACGTGTTCCCTTGAGTGTTTGCAAATGACACCATGCAGCAGACTGAGCCATGCAGAAGGAAGCTTCGCCATGCACTACTTGCACTGTGCGTCTGTGTGGCCATGTAAGCATGCGCAGGTACGCTGGAAATTTACAAAACGGGGATCGTGGGAGTGTTCATGCACAGAAAGCCCATGCAATGTTGACTCTTCTTATATGCACACATATCCTGGCCCCTTCCAGCTTCAAGCAGAGTGTCCGGCAAAACGCACGCCGAGCGATGGCAGAACTTCCAAAAAACAAATTTGAACAGCTACTGAGCAGTGAGCGACAGCAGACCGAAACTTTGTATTGTTCCTACCAGATAGACCAGACAGGGTGCCACTCAAGTTACCAAAACTTTGTTTGAACTTCTTTTTGTTGCGTATGAATGGAGCCTCGCCGATAGCTTACACACATATCTCATATGGGACTTCCCCAGTAGCTTGCAACAAAAGAAGACCCCAGAAATGGAAGTTCAACCAGAGCGTGCTGCGAAAGAGACCAACGTGATGCTTCCGAAATCTTGCAGCACAAGAAGACCCCATAGATGGAAGTTCTCCAAACGGCTTGCTGCGCAATCAGAATTCATAAATGGGATCTGCCCACTAGCTTTCAACAAAAAACATCAAGTGTTGCTTTAGTACTGCGTCTCGCACTGTCGTTATCACATCCTCTTACTGTGGTTGTCATGCTTCATCAATTCCAACCCATTTAACACCATGTAGATCCCGGTGTCTTGTAATTTCTGACTCAAGTTTTAAGGAACCTTGTTTAACAATACCAACCAAGCATTATAAATCAAGTAAATGTAGTATCTGCTGAGTCCTGTGCTTATACATTTTTTAAGTATAAACCTACGTGAGTACGTACACCTGTGCTGGTAAAACTCTTGGTAGGATTATCGTTAGTCAAGTTACACATTTGCTCATTGTTTACCTGCTGAGAGTGGGTTGTTAGTGTTCCAAGCCACCATGAATAGCACAGTCCACCATGACTTGTTGAGGGGCGGAGTTATTGGTACACGTACCGTTTGCGCCTTTGTACATGACGACGTGTACATGTCTTGTCAGGACAATCAAGAGTGGACTCGTGCGACTAACTTTGGCTCAAGCAAAACGGACTTTGCTGTGCTTGTTTTGCTTGCATTCATTGTGTCACGTCGGCTTCCCACGTGAACAACTGTACACACGAACCTTAGAAGCCATGGGAGCCATAGTAAATGGAACTTGCTTGCACAGAGACTCAACGATCAAGGAACACCAACAAACATCAGGGACAAGGCGTCTGAAGTGAACAGGACACAACCTGGCTAACCAGGGGGAGGGAGGTTACCAGACAAATATAAATGGGCTGCGTAGTGTCCCCCCCTACGTTTCTGCTAAATCGCTGAACTCGATAGGTTTGTGAACCCAGACACAGTTTATAAACCCAGGAAAGTTTATAAACCCAAACACAGTTTATAAACCTGAATCATCAGCTCCGCTACAACGCCCCCGCAACCCCACAACCCTGAACGGCAGCTGCTGGTAGTGGTACTGCAAGGAAAAGGCACCTCAGATGGACAACAGTAAGTCTAGCTATTAATGCAAAAAGCCCCTGCGGAGGGATGACACACACGCAGCACTCAGCAAGGATGACACGTCTGCACAAATCAGTTTCTCGGCACCCCAGTCCAGCCGTATGTGCAGAGCTCACTCAATCGCAAGCAGTCGGTTGCTGCATGCACCCCCGCTGGCCATGGCAAGTCCATGGAACACATCACACATACTGCTTCCTACATTTACATAGAACACGTACTCATCCATTTTTCAATCTACTGTTCTCACTTTCCTGAAAGCCGGTCGAGGGGTCGCGAAAGTGCTTCTCATGTTTCACTGGTGGAGCATACTTGTAGCCGAGGGAGTTGACAGCCTTTTCGGTTGCACGCCAACCATCAAACACCAGGAAAGAACCTTTTGCCTTTTGCGACATGCTTCTGAACGGTGGCTTTGATCTCATCGAAACCGCGGGGCTTGTCCTTGATGGTCTTTTTGCTCGAGGGCAAGAGTCGGTAGGTAAGCCTTTTCTTCTTGTTGCTGTGAGTGTAGATTGCATTCTTGGCGCCCACGTATATTCCCAACCATAGCCACATACCGTTGGATTTGAGGTTTTTCTTTTTGGGACGCTTGGCCGGCGCCATTGCGGGCTTCTTCATGACACAGGCTGCCGGCTTTTTCGCGAAGGAAGAAGCGGGTCTCTTGTTCACGATGAACAGCGATGAGGAAGAGGCCTTCTCTTTGTGATGAAGAGTGCGAGCAGGTAGTCGCTTCACTGCCCCGGACTTAATCATCTTGTTGATGCTCTTGCGTTCAGACGACCGGTTCTGTTCAGCACTTGCTTTGTTTATTCCGCGAGAGCCACCAGTCCAGCCATCCTCGGCATGAACACCGACGACGGCTTCGTCCATCACGACGACTTGGTGTTTGCCCCCAATCATGCGAGCGTCCAAGTTGGTGAGAGCACACCCCAAAGCTTTCTGATAGACATCCCGCCATTTGGCAAGTGTCTGTCGTGCAATGTTGCCGTACCCAGCAAGGATCTCGTCAGGATGGACGAGAAACTTCTTCCCAACCGTCGTAAGTTGATCATGTGCAAGAACGGAAGCCAGCTGTTCACTGGAATTGCCGTCAAGAAACCGAAGACATTCACCTGGGTTTCCATATGTTTGTGTCCGACACGCTTACATGTCGACCCATATGTAGTCCAGCCCCTGGAATCACGAGTTTCGAAGCGTGCTGGCCCTCCACATCTGATACACTTCTTCACACCAAAAGTTAAGAAAGATCCCGACGGAGCGCAAGGACAAGGAGACCAGATGACCGTTGCCGTCAAGTACTCGGCGGCGATGAAGGATATGCTTCTGGAAGGCAGTGTCGGTAGCGAAACAATCTCCGTCAAGTCCTTCCAGCCACTCTCGCAAAGTACATTCCGCGAGCACGGAGGAATGCAAGCCATCTTCCCGGGCGCACTTTGGCATGAGTGTTAGACTACGAATGAGCACTAAAGCAGATACCTTCCCATGAGTTTCGTCATGTCACCTTTAGTGCGATGTGCTTGAGAGAACCATGCACGAGTATAGCAGTAAGTGGTGATTCCTTCTCCGCGTCACTTGCAGAGTTGCCTATGCAGCGCCCGCTTGTTTTGCAGCAGGAGTTTAGTCACAGTGTAAAGTGCCAAAATCTCGAATGGATGGTTCCACACGAGTAATCTCAACTTCTGCGCAAAGCAGAAATCGTACCCTAGCATCAAAACTTCTTGACACGAAGATATCTTCGTGGCAGAACTACATGAAGGTGATGCGAGCGATGATCACTCATCCGGCTTCTCACCAACAGAAGGAAGGACATCCTCGTCCTCCACATCCATTTCATCGGCCACGTCCTGGGTGTTCTGTGAGCGAAGGCGTTTGTGAGGCGGCAGCGACGGCGAGTCCAGGTTGATAATCTTGTCAGGGGCGGAAAGAAGCATTGGGAAGCGAGGCACATCTTCAAGTTCCTGCTTCACCTGGACAAGCTTTGGCTGTGAAAGAGAAGCTTCTGCGGCACTGACTCTGTTCGGCTGGGGGCTTGAGTACCTGTTGTTGTCAATGTCCGGGACAACGGCAGAGGAGATGTTCGCATCGGTCTTCGGGACAAAGTCAGGAGAAAAGGTAACCAAAAAATGGTAACTTGGGCTTGATCTCCCGCTGGATCTCCCGGCGATCGGAACTGCCGGACGAACGGCATATGACCTGAGTTGGGGGGGCTTCTTTCCTGACTCACACAACATAGCCATCAGATCCAGGCTCCACTGTCGCTTTGTGGCCCAGTTCTCAGGCGGCTCTGTGATGCCGTCGTACAAGCGACCCAAGATCTCGTGGCCTTCCGGGCTGATGAAGTCTGTCACGCCGCCTATGTAGGGAATGCGGCGAGCGTCGTCCCTCGAAGTCCCTGCAGGCCGAAGATAAACAGCCCCAGGCATGTTGGCGATCCAAAGCGCCCGCTTGTAGCAAGCCATTTTGTCTTGCGAGCTAGCTTTTTCCGGAAAAGCCGGCGCCGTCATCTCCATAAACGTCTCGAACTTCACACTCATGGCGCCCTCGGGCGTGCCTTTCTCCGCCTCCTCGTCGGATTTATTGTCACGCAATATACGCAGCTGGCCCTTGACAAAGCGGGCTGCAGTCCACCGCTCGACGGTATGAGTCTCGACGAGGCTCGAGTCCAGGAAACTCTTCAGTTTCGTCACCGGGATGGAAGACGAAATACCGTCATCCAGGATATCTGGCCTGTATTTAAGGCCAGACTCACCGCGAAGTTGGTCCAGGGAAGAGCAGATGCGGAAACCCGGAGAATACTCGGACTCCATGACATCCTTCAGAATGAGATACTCCGAGAAACACATGGCGATGGCCTGGGCAACCGGTGTTTTGCCTTTTTCTGCCAAGCGCACGACGAACACAATTGTTTTAGAACGCAGGTCGCCCAAGATGTGGATGAGCACCTCGTCCAAGAACCCTCCGGCTATGTCGTGGAGGGTCAGCGGGAACTTGTGGTCCGGCTTGGCGTACACATTGCCTGTGCTGAGACTGCGAAGGCATTCCTTTACCAGACCAGCAGACCAGCCGTTCAAGGGACTGTCAGAGCGACGCGTTTCTATTTCCGCTCACTCAGTCTGTTGGTTATGCTTGGGCTTGTTGTCCTTTGTGGGAACTTTGGGAGTAAGCTGAGTGTAGTGCGCGAACTAGTGGGACATCTTCTTCAACATACACTGCACGGCAAGGGGTCCAACGCGTTAGTTTGGAGTGTAGTCCAACAGGTACACAGTTCCATGAGCGATCTCATTCACATTCCGCAAGGATGTTTTCTCAGGTAAACTGCTTCAGTACCACACAGTGCGTCATGCTGGACTTCATGATGGCAATCTGCATCTTGTAGGACTTATGTAACGGCACTTTGGCAGCAAAGGGAGCAGGCAAGTCATCATACTTGTTCTGCATCATGTGTTCCTCGAGCAATCCAAAGTCCACATTATCCAGCGGAGCGTCTTTGATGATATCTAAGAAGCTTTTGGCCTCTGTCTGCACGGCGAGATGCTTCAAGGGAAGATCATCAACACAACCGAAGGTGTCGTCCTGCCGCAAGAAAAGGGGAACCTCATACTGTGCGATGTCATAAATCTTGATTTCCTCTAAGGCACGAATGTACGCCGGAGAAGCCATTGCTTTGAAGCGTGGGCAAACACTGCTAAGTTTATAAACCGGCCCAGGGTTTCTGAACCCGTGTTGTTTGCAAAGTTTACCATGTAGTCGATGCATCCATGAAGTGGTTTCATTGAAGCATGAGTCTCCTTATGCCAGCCCTGTCGCTGTTTGCAAGGCAAACATTGGTTTGAAGAAATGAAAGACTGTCTGCAAAGTTTATGATGAAGTCGATGCATGACCGCAGTGTTGTCAAGCAAACTTGGTGCTCCGTATGCCAGCCCTAGCATTGTTTGCATGACAAACATCGATAGAGCAGAACATGCAATGCATGTTTGCCCTTCAGCCCCGCCGGCATCTATAGTCAAAGACGACACGGAAAATCCCGTGGCATCCCAGGCCATCTTGGCCTTGTGAACCTCCCGCAGAAGATTGGCTATGATCTCCTTCTTATCATCAGACCCTCCGGTTCTCTTATCGAACAACCAAGCGGCGGATCGCCACGCATCCAACCAGTCACCGTCCCAACCGTCCACCTCTAACTCCAACTGGTACACGTCGTCCAAGGGGGCGGCCTCCTTGTTCTCAGACGGCCTCTGGTCGTCATCCAAGGCAATGTTCTCGCGCGGCTTCTGGGCACCATCCGAGGAAGTAGATGCGTCTGAATCCGATTCGGCTTCCTGCGATTCACTCTGCTCCTCAGACCCTGATGATGAAGACGATGACGATGAAACAACGGGCTTGTCGATGTTAGGTGTAGGCGTGGGAGACGTGGAAGCTAATGAAGTGGCTTTTGTCTTAGAATCATCACGGTCATCATCTGTTCGCTTACGCTTGCTTTCTTCACGATTTGGGTCGTCAGTCAGTGCAAGGAGTGGTTCTTGCTTCTATCCTTTCATGGCCTTCAAGAACCAAGCGTTGAGCTTCTCCTGGAGCTCATTGTTCCACAGACCGCTAGCTCCGCGAGCTACGTTTGCACCTTTCTGCAAGTAGTTGATATGCACTGCCAACTGCTTTTTGGTGATGTTTCTCCTGCTCTCGAGTACAATTGTTTTGCCATCTCTCGCCGTCGGACAAGTAGAATTGGTAGATATACGTAACTAGTCACATAACAAGCAGTACCCAGTTATAGTATAGAAGGTTCTCGGGAATAGGGAACCACGGAGCATGCCGAGTGCAGGCGGCTGACCTGAGGCAGGGAAGTTTGGCCCTAACCCCGAAAACCATTTCACCATTTCACCAGGCCATAACCGCAAAACCATTGCACCATTTCACCAATTAGTTTGGCCCTAACCCCAAAACCATTTCACCAATTAGTTTGGCCTTAACCCCAAAACCATTTCACCATTTCACCAATTAGCTCTGACCATATGGGGAAAGGAATGGTGAAATGGTGAACTGGCCTGACCATATGGGGGAAAGGAATGGTGAAATGGTGAAATGGTGAACTGGCCTGACCATATGGGGGTAAGGAATGGTGAAATGGTGAACTGGCCTGACCATATGGGGGAAAGGAATGGTGAAATGGTGAAATGGTGAACTGGCCTGACCATATGGGGGAAAGGAATGGTGAAATGGTGAAGTGGTGAATGTGTGACTTGTTGTGCGAAGCCAGCAAATGCTTGGGGGGAAATAACATTACCCATAATATATATATATATATATATATATATATATAAATAAATATATATATATATATATATATATATATATATCTATATATATGTAGATATGTATGTATGTATATGTATATAAATATGTATGTATGTATGTATGTATGTATGTATGTATGTATGTATGTATGTATGTATGTATGTATGTATTATTTGGCTTTGCCTTGCTAAGCTAGGCGACGACTCGTTCGCTGCGTCCTGAAGAGATGTATGTATGTATGTATGTATGTATGTATCTATGTATGTATGTGTATATATATGTGTATATATATATATATATACATACATACATACATACATACATACACACACATGCATACATACACCTTGGTTTTGACTGGAGTTGAGGGTTACTTTAGTGATGCAGGAGCGAGCTAGGGCCGATTGGGCCCGCCTTGTGAGAAAGCAGGGGCACTCGAAAGATTGTTCCACAACGTGGGACAGTTTCTGCAGAACTCCTGTCGAAGGCTCACGGAGACTAGGTCAGCGATGGCGGGACAACCGCAACAAGGAGGGAATGCAAGACAGGAGTTACTGAAGCGCCTGCTTCAGGGGCAGCAAGAACAGCTTGCGACGCTTTGGCGTATACTTGAGCCGCAGGAAACTGGGCAGCAAGGCCAGGGCCGGGCAAGTCCTCAGTCCTCAGTACCAAAGCCATCGGAAGGCCTGAGAAGCTTGGCGGTTCCTTGGAAAAGGTGTCCAAAGCGTGGGGCCACGGCCCAGGATGCTGAGATCAGGGGCGCGGACCTTGGTGCTACCACCGCGACCGGTGTGACGGAGCAAGACTTGAAAGACTTCAACAGACAACTCGAAGCTGTGTTGAGGAACGTCACGGTCGGCTCCCCAGGAGATATCACCCGCCGCCGCCGCGTGGCGCTCTGCTTGAGCACCTCGGTTTGGAAAGCAACGACGGTGACAACACCTTTGGTCAAGGACGAGGGTGATGGTCCGGGGACACCGCTCACCACTGAGGAGGCGAGCGCCCACAGATCTACGCAATGAGGATAGCGTACCTGGCAATGACCGACCAGACGTGCTACGCACCACCAGGGAGCTAGCAAAAGGTCTGAAGGAGCCCACCACGTACCATTGGGGACTGCTCAAGAGAGCAGCAGATACCTCAAGGGAGCTCCAAGGTTGGTTCGGCTGTTGCCGCACCAGGACCAGTTCACGCATGCTGGCTGTATTCGGACGAGAAAAAGTACGACTGGTGATCCAGCTGGGAAGCAGCGTGATCAAGGCTACTGCGAAAGGCCAAGCACTGATAGCCTTAGTACCGGTGAAGCAGAATACTACGGGTTGGTTAGCACCGCCAGCGTTGCGCTGGGCGAACAAGCTATGATGGCCCACTGGGGCATCAAACTGCCCGGGGCCGTAGCTATGGATGTTTAACGGAGATAAGCATGGGATGCCGAAGAGGGCCTGGAAAGGCCAGGACATAGACACCTGTTTCTGTTGGGTGCAAGAGTGCGTTGACAACGCAAGGATCCGACAAAAGAAGGTCGGAACTGCCGCGATGTTGGCCGATCTGATGACTGGAGGGACCATGAGCAAGCCGCTACGCAACATGGGTTACGACCTCAACAGAGCTGCACGTGATCTGGCCCTGAAAGCAAAGTGAGCCCAATGCGACCAAAATGCGACCAACAAAAAAGAAGACACGAACCTTCCACTTGATTAGATTTGTAGGTGCCACGTAGCATGTTTCACATAGCATGTATATATGCGCATGATATTGGCTCAATCCGTCAAAAGAAGTGCACCTTAGGGTGTAAGTTCTGCCTTAAACTCCGTTCATGGTAGTGGAGCTGCCGGTTTGAATGGACGCTAGACGTGCTACTGGTGACGACCTAGCTGGTGGTGAGGACGAAGGCTTTGTTGTGGCACAAGCCCCGGCAGTGGACCGTTGGGCACGCCTGATCCGGTTGCTTCATCGGATGAGGCGCCTCCAGAGGATCTGGGGTCTGTTGGACCAACACCTGCAAACTCTGTTCCAGAGTCGTGAGTTTCGCCGCCGAGTTCTTGATCGGTTGCGATGAGCGGATCTACCGCCCCGGCAGCTGGAACACAGGTGACTGCAAAGCAAGTGATGCAGGAGCTTGTGGCAATGAGAACCGAGCTTGCGAGGCAACGAGAAGAGAATACCCGCCTGAAGGCGGAACATGGCGCGGCTTTGGAAGCTGTGAGAGCTGAGAGGGCGGCCCGAGTTGCAGAGCTGCAAGCTCAAGCGCAACAGGCAGTGCAGCAAGCGACGGCTCAGATGGGCACGATGCCGCAGCTACTGACCGAAATGGAACAAAGAGCTCGTGGAAGCCATGGCAAAGAAAGAGCACCCTTGGAGGCATGGAATGGCGAGCTACGTGTGCTCGATCCATCAAGATCTGCAAGAGGTTCTTGAGTGGCTCGAAGAGCGGGAGAAGCCGTTCAGTTCTGAAGAGCTGGACCAGGCGTTCGGAGAAAAAGCCCCGGATGCCGACCGGGTTCCCAGACTGCAAGAACGCGCTTCAGATGGTTACCTCGAAGGAACCATTCACGATCGTGTGCAATTGCCAGAACAATGGCTTCGAGGCATGGAGACGCCTTACGAGGCGATACGATCCTGCGACTGCAAGCAGGAAGCGCACGATGCTTAGGGCGATCATCTCGCCACAGAAGCAGAAGCTTGAGAACCTCCCGCAGGCCATCGAAGAATGGGCCGACGCAGTGCGCACTTACGAGAAGCGCAAAGACAGCATGGGTCGGAGGACCGCGATTGCTGACGAGATCGCAGCAGCCGCTAAGGCGGCGGGCTCCCACTACGACCGAAAGGTCCTTGAGAGAGAGAAGCTTGTGAGGGATTGGTCCAACAAGGACGAGCTGAGGAGCCCTCGGGCCAAGAAGGACGAGGAGAAAGAAAAGGAAGAAAAGAGCGACCAGGAGGACAAGCTTTCCCTCGTCTCCCTCGAGCCAGAAGGCGAGGAGGAAAGTGAGCCCGAGGACTTCGAGGAGGAGAGCGACTTCGGGGACCCTATTTTTCTTGACCCTTTTTTTTTTTTTTTCTTTGCCCTTTTTTTTTTTCCCTTTGGGGGCCTCGGTGTTTTCTATTACAGCTGCTACTGCACCTACTCCCACTAATACCTCCTGCTACACCACCACTACCACTACTACTACTACTACTACTACTACTACTACTACTACTACTACTACTACTACTACTACTACTACTACTACCTCTACTACTACTACTACTACTACTACTACTACTACTACTACTACTACTACTACTACTCTACTACTACTTACTACTTACTACTTACTACTTACTACTTACTACTTACTACTTACTACTTACTACCTACTACTACTACTACTACTACTACTACTACTACTACTACTACTACTACTACTACTACTACGACTACCTACTACGACTACCACTGCTACGACTACCACTGCTACGACTACTGCTACGACTACTGCTACGACTACTGCTACGACTACTGCTACGACTACTACTACTACTACTTCACCTACTTCTACTATACCTCCTACTAGACTACTACTACTACAACTACTACTACTACAACACTACTACTACTACTACTACTAGTACTACTACTACTACTACTACTACTACTGCTACTACTACTACTTCACCTACTTCTACTATACCTCCTACCAGACTACTACTACTACTACTACTACTACTACTACTACTACTACTACTACCACTGCTACTACTACCACTGCTA